GGAGGGGCGGGGGGGGCTCCTCCTCCCCCCTCACCCTCTCCCTTTCTCCCCCCCGGCAGGCCTCACATGACAGGCGGCGGTGGTGGCGGCGGGGACAAAGAGCGGGACGAGAACCGGGAGGCCAAGCCGCGGTCGCTGCGCTTCACCTGGAGCATGAAGACCACCAGCTCCATGGAGCCCAATGAGATGATGAAGGAGATCCGGAAAGTGCTGGACGCAAACAATTGCCAGTGCGAGTTGCAGGAGAAATACATGCTCTTGTGCATGCACGGGGCGCCCGGCCACGAGGCCTTCGTGCAGTGGGAGATGGAGGTTTGCAAGCTCCCCCGCCTCTCGCTCAACGGCGTCCGCTTCAAGCGGATATCGGGCACTTCCATGGCCTTCAAGAACATTGCCTCCAAAATCGCCAACGAACTCAAGCTTTAACGGGCCACCCCAGGGGAGGGGGCGCCTGGCCTGCACACGCACGGAGGGGGGTGAGGAGGAGAGCTGCAGCTTCCCTTCGGAGGGGCCCTGGTGCCGGCCATGCAGGCAGGGGGTGGGCAGGGCAAGGGGGAGGTGGGGGCAACCCCTCTCTCCATCCTCCCACGGCCCCCCCCTGATGGATCTCCATGGAGACAGGGTGCGTGGGGTAGTGGCTGGCAGCCACTTAGCCGGTCTCCGTGGCAACAGTAATGGGAGTGTACCAAGGGCTGTTGGATGAGGGGGCATCCCTTTTGGTCTCCGTGGCGACCATGGTACTTTTTCTTCCCCCCCCCCCCCCCCTTTTTCTTCTTGTACATGAGACAGGGTTTGCAATTTTACCAAACGCAGCAGAAAGCGGAGACTCTCCCCTCCGGCGCAAGAGCGAGTCCTTTCCCACAATGCCTTTCCCTCTCACAATGCCCCTCCTCCTCGGAACCCAGGTTCACAGTTGGGAAGGGGGCAGCCCCTTGGCGCAAGGGGGAGCGGGAGAGCCGAGGTTCTCGATGGGCATTAATGCAGCAACGGTCCCCCCACTCCACCCTCCGGAGTTCCCCTGCTCGAGCCAGTCCTTCCGTGCCAAGGGGCACTTCTGAGGTCCCCCCCTCTGCCTGACCCTTGAAACCCTGGTCCCTGCAGAGGCCGCCCCCACCCCAAACGAAGTGCCCGAATCCCCCACAGGGTTTTCCTCTCGGCATGAAACGTTCTTCCTTGCTAGTTGGGAGCGGCTGGGAGGGTTGAAAGGAGGAAGGGCTGGGTGCCGCCAGGCTTCTGTCCGTACAGCAACCCGAGCCATCACTCCTCCCCGCCTTGCCCCCCCCTTTGTCCAGGCATCGCAGTAGAGGGCCACTCTCTGGGGCTGGTCAGTGCCCTGTTTACACACTCAGACCCAAAAGAGCGGCCTGCCCCAAGCCGGCAGGGCGCTCCCGTCCGCTGCCTCCCG